CTACACAAAGTTTGTTTTTTAATGTCCACATTTACGTGGAGTATAACATTCATCATAACGTCAGATAACCATATTTACAGTCTGTGGTTAACCACCGAGATGAACCTTTAGCTTCTAACATCACACAAACTCACTATTTTCAACAACAACATCTTAACAACAAACATTTTTAAACCATTGACCGTAAATAATGTAAATAATGTAAATAATGTAAATAATGAGCTACACAGTTAGTCGACTGGTTTACAAGCTAACGCTAAACAAGCTAGGTCCGTAAATATAAATACCGACACATGAGTAAGCAGTAAATATAACACTACTATATCACTTATCGAAAAAAACTGAAGCATCAACTTGTTGGATGGTCTGTTAACCGCACAGCAAGCCATGTATGTTGTCAGATATGTGTTAAACAAACTCTCCAAACGAAGTAAGAAAGAGGAGAAATCAGACGGATCAAGCTGTTAGCCTCCTGACCTGCTGACCGCGCAGAGCTGTCAATCAAATCTGACACAACCAAATATGGGCATAGTCGTTTTCCTTAATAGAATAAAATCCGATGAGTTATGAAAAAATTCACCCCCCCCCCACAGTTTGAGGAGAAGGGGCCGTCAACTTCTCAGATATATCTCGTTTTTTGAACCAGGCTGTAAACATGTTGATTCCTGTGGTAAAAACGGGCTTTTTTGGCTGTGGGCTTATGGCACTTCCGGCGTTTCTGCAGCCAGCCTCAAGCGGAACCTCGAGGAACTGCAGTTTTTTGTACAACCGCATAGGCTTCATTTTTCAAGACCGGAGGTTGCCCCTTGGTTTTCACTCAAGTATGAGGAGGAGTGGCAGAGTGCAGAGGGCTCTCTAACAGACACACACTCCCTCTGGGCAATAGACAGAGAGGTATCTTTTCCCCTACCCGGGCATGTCCAGATTGTTGTTTTGTTTTTATTTTAGTCGAACCTTCAATTCCTTCAGTTTAGTTCTGTTTTCCTTTGTTTTTAGGAGGTGGTGCTGAGAGCGACGGCCCATCACGTAGCTGGCTCTGCACTTTCCCATATTTTGTTATTTTTTTGCCGGGGTCTCCAGCCCCTTTTGTTTTGTTAGTTTTATTATTTATCTTTGATTATGTCTTGGGGGTTATTAACAGCCAAATAAAGCTTGGGTTTAAAACCTAATATCTGTGTGGCGCCCTATCTGTTCTGGTCTCCTTTGTTTTCAGCCTTGATTTAATTATTTTGGATAAGAAGGACATGACAAAACTTCTTGGTGCGTATTGTAGAAAATGAACATCTCAGCCAGACACATATTCATTCTGACATTTGTTTCAACAGTTCTCCAGTTGACAACAAAAAAACAAACCACCTGAAATGTTCGAATCAGCAAATAAACTAGCACTGATCTGCTGAGGTGACTCTGAAGCCGGGTACACACTAAAAGATAATCAGGCCGATTTTGGACCTCAGAGGCCTGATTATCTGATGGTTTCAAAGATCATCTTGCCAGATTCTCCTGTGGTGTAAGGTGTGTTATGAGTGATTTTAACCTCCCCGATCTTCACGGAAGACGATCGGGGCCGCCCTAATTTAAAATCATGTTATATATGATCAGTAGTCTTGTTGTGAGGAGAAAACACAGAGGACAGCCGAGCACAGACTCTGTGGATTGTCAAGTGTAACAGAACAACAGGCAATCAGGAAGCAAGCTGACTGAATCAGGAAGCACAACAAACATAACCATGGCGACGACACATCTAGTCACATCTAAAACAGGATTTAAGGTTGTGAATGAAGGAGAAAAAGAAGAAGTTGTCACTAAAACAACAGCAGAGAAGGCAGGGGACACTTACAAAGGAGCGGACAGGAATGTAAATCATGGGTCATGGAAACATAAAGCAAACATCTAAGGGCTATAGAAGAAAGAGCTACACAAGCAGCTGAACGCAGAAAAATAACTACGAAACCAGGTGGAGGAGTCACAGAGGAGGTAAAAGTAGAGGGTAGAGAAGGAGGGATTGCCACGTCAAATCTGATGAAGGAGCTGACAATAAAACTTGAAAGAATAAATTAAACATACAAACAGGATTCAAAAGAGGAGGGGAAGGCGATGCTGCATCATTCAGCCATTAATGAAGAGATCAGAGAGTGAGAGGAGCTGAGTGTCAAGAAGAGCTGCAGGAAGAGGAGGAGTTATAGAGTGATGAACCTCAACATGTCACATGGAGGATCAAACCACAACAAACACAAGAGAGCAATGAGGACCAGGAGAGAGGTAGAGATTATGAGAGCTATGAGTAAAGAAGAGAAGGGAGATGAGCTGAAACAGAAAACAGTCGACATTAGACGACTCAGCAGAGAAGAGGAACTGAATGATGGAGCGCTGAGCAGCTTATTTATCTTTTTAACAAATCATTAGAAGAGGATTTTTGATGACTTTTGGATTTTGAAATTGTCAAATCAATCACAAAGAAAACAACAAGATGTGGAATTATTATTAGATGTTTTTCATCTAAGTTTTATCAAAATGCCAACCTGTGCATCCACCAACATGTCAGACATTTTTAAAATTCAGTGACTGAGTGAGCTGAGGTTACACTTAACAGCGAGCATGAAATGTGGACCTCAAATTCACTTTACAACTTCTTTCATTCATCATTTATTGTCTGATGATGTCATTTCTGTGCATTTTGGTTACCATTAGTGTGTTGTATTACATGGACGCTCATAATTCACATTTTCAGATTCAGTTTTTTGCAATGTAATTCTGCACTGTTTACCTCTTATCAACTGTCACTGTGTCAAACTATTTGTTTATTTTTTATTAAATCTCGCTCACTGCGATGTGGTTGGTCTGAAAACTTTATGGGGATTTTTTTTGATACCTCTATTTTGATATTGTATGCAGAGTGGTCTCCTTATTTACATCCAAATAATTGCAGAAACAAACACAGAAGGACTCACAAAGTAGTACACTCCATCTTGTGGCGAAAATTGGTAGTAACACCTACAGTAGACTTAGACTTAGACTTAGACAGTACTTGAGACCACATTGTTAAACAACAAAGATATTTAGGGGATACTTGTTTTTAAACACTCAAGAACTTCCTGTTCTCAAACTATTGTTAAAAATGTTATGATTAGATTATTATAAAAAAAAAGTATAATGCATCTATTTTACCATTAGTTTGTTGTTATATAACAAAATGTTTTCCAACAATCTCACACATTTCAGTTTAATCAGTAGTGTCTGCACGGTTTCTATCTCGTCCTCTGCTGATCCCTCTCTCTCTCTCTCTCTTCTCTTCAACTCATTTATGATGTGCTAATTAAACAAAAACACCTACTATCACAAAGACAAACATACATACTCTACTTCTTTTGGAGAAGAGGCTTCAGGGTCTAACTTCTTACCCTTCTTACTTATTTTGCAAAAATTTAGAAGGGACTGAGTTATTTTTTCTGTCTGGACATGAACCCTCAAACATCTCTCATTCTGCAGCTGTAACACTGACAGAGTGCCTAAACATAGTCATACTCTCAGCTGCAGCAGGAAAGAGGAGGAGAGGGCATCGAGGCCTGCATCACATGACCCCCGACCTAATGACCTTTTTCACTCTACAGCTTATAAATGGGATTTATTGAAAATTATTTCTATTAAAAATTACTCAAAATGAGTTTTGATAAAGCATATTTTTCGAATTAAGAAGTGTAGTACAAACAGCATGAGATCATTTATGTATACAGTGATTTTATTTACAGTTAATTCACCTTTTCAGGATGAATAATTGAATATTTTTTTAACATCTTTTTTTTCCGGTGTTGCGATTTGCAGACGGTCCCTGAGAGGGGTCAAGACCAGTGGTACTCAACTTGTCTAGCCTCAGGACCCACCACCAACTCCTCCCTGAAAAACCGTGACCCAAATTCTAACCAAATTCAACCAATCAGATTGATTTAATGAAAATTTTTAAGTTTGCAGGTTCTGTCAAATGTTATAGCTCAGACGATGCAAAACACCTGATGGAAGATATAAACAAACATGTTAAAACAAAAAAAAAGCACTTGACAGACTGTTCAAGAACAGGTTTTTTCCAGGAACATGACCCACTGAAAACAGCTCCCGACCCACCTTTGGGTCCCGACCCTCCAGTTGAGAATCACTGGTCTAGACTGTCTTGGTGGGTTAGGGTCACAACAGGTGTTATGGAGAGAATTGCATGCGCACCTTTCAAGACACAATTTCAAGACACACTTTACGTTTATCAAGTGTAAACTGCACATAGTCTACTTTGTCGTCACAGATCTGCCCGCAGAAATATGAGACCGTTTTCAGACACTTCCGCGACTTCCCGCAACTTATTCATGTGAGCAGGTTTTATCTGTGATGAACCTTAATGAGTGCAAACTGTGCTGTGGCCTGACACACACAGATCTAAAGTCTCTCTCTCTCTCTCTCTAATGCACTGATCCCAGGGCAAGTTAGCAGGTACATCCCTGATGCAATGTGTTCATTTTGGGTTTATAACACGCTGAAAAACAATCTCTCTTTGTTTAAACACTAAACACGTTGACTAGACTTTTTATTTTGTTTGTGCAACAGATCCTCCCATGATGTGTTTACGGGATAACATTACGTTTAAAATGCATGTCGTCTATAGTCATATTATTTGTATTTAATGAGTCAATATATTCAAACCAAATACCTCCGAGTCCGATTATAACCAGCAGCTGGTTTTGATTTTAGTCTTTTACGCCGTCGGTAACCGGGACAAACTTTAACAGTGTGACGACAGAGAGGTGGTGAACTTCCTGCTGAGCCTTCATTATTTAAAACGGTCTTTATATAAAACATGTAAGTTTATCTAATGACAAACTGTCCGTTTATGTTTAAATATTGTTAAATTCACTTTATCGCTGATTTTTCTTTCCAAATCAAAGTGAAATTAAACTGTTTGTTTAAAACGTGCAGAGTGAAGGACACAGGAGGACTTGTTAATAATTATACAGAGAGGGCGTGTATATAGTGGCACAGGTGACAGGAAAGGGAGGGCACAGGTAGGGGGAGCACAGACAGTTCTCACCAGACCGGCATTCATGTTTCAGACCAGCACTCAGACAAACTACAATTCATTCATTCTACTGGCTACGCTTCACTGGAAATGGTATGTTGTTTGTTCTCATATCTCCATCAAGTCACTTCAATAAACCTTCAACTCAACTTTAATAACGGCTGGAAAATCATTGTTTGCATCTGCGTAAGACTTCACCACTACCTGTGTATTAATGGCAATAATTGGAGCAAAGGAAACAATTGGAAAATTGCTATTACAATTAAAAAAAGCAAAAGTATTGAAGAACACTGTATTTTAAATATTTCCTCAAAAATTAGACCACATTGTTAAATGCCAAAAATATTTAGGGGATGCCTGTTTTTAAACACTTAAGAACTTCCTGTTCTCAAACTATTGTTAAAAATGTTATTATTAGAAAGTAAAAGTAAAATGCATCTATTTTACCATTAGTTTGTTGTTATATAACAAAATGTTTTCCAACAATCTCACACATTTCAGTTGAATCAGTAGTGTCTGCAAGGTTTCTATCTCGTCCTCTGCTGATCTCTCTCTCGCTCTCTCTCTCTCTTCTCCTGTTCATCATCTGCAGCTTTCTATCTGGAAAGAGAGAAAAAAAGCATGTCAACGTGATCCCTCAATAATTGTGCACTAATTGAACAAAAACACATACGATCACAAAGACAAACACACATACTTATTCATACTTAGTCATACTCTCAGCTGCAGCAGGAAAGAGGAGGAGAGGGCATCGAGGCCTGCATCACATAACCCCCGACCTAATGACCTTTTTCACTCTACAGCTTATAAATGGGATTTATTGAAAATTATTTCTGTTTGCGAGGGGTGCATTTCTGGACATAACACCAGCAGTCTACATTACTGTGAGTGAAATCTGAATCTGTGAATATCTTTCTAACTTTATCGAAGTTCTGAAGCCTTTAATCCTTTATTGAACGGTATGAACGGTTACGTTCACTGAAGCTCATAAAGCCGATGAAACGTGAACACACCTTTTTATTACAGTTGATCTGAGGATCTGCTTATCTCTTTTTATCAGACTTTGACCCATCAGAGTCCTCGGTAGACTTCCACAACGATCCAACAGGTTTGAATATGTTTGTTCTCTCTTTGTTTAAAGATTAAACACGCAGACTAGACTTTCTGTTTTCTTTGTGCAACAGATGCTCCCATGATGTGTTTACGGGATAACATTAAGTTTAAAATACATGTAGCCTTTGGTCATATTATTTATATTTAATGAATCAATATATTCAAACCAAATACCTCCGATTATAACCAGCAGCTGGTTTTGATTTTAGTCTTTTACTCTGTCGGTAACCGGGACAAACTTTAACAGTGTGACGACAGAGAGGTGGTGGACTTCCTGCTGAGCCTTCATTATTTAAAACGGTCTTTATATAAAACATGTAGGAGCCATTTTGTGTTTATCGTTGGCATGTTGTATAATTAGATTTATCTTAATATATTATTTTCCACTAGGGACACTGAATACACAGGGGCGTGTATATAGTGGCACAGGTGACAGGAAAGAAAAACGGTCTTTATATAAAACATTTAAGTCTATCTAATGACAAACTGTCCGTTTATGTTTAAATATTGTTAAATTCACTTTATCGCTGATTTTTTTTCCAAATCAAAGTGAAACTAAACTGTTTGTTTAAAACGTGCAGAGTGAAGGACACAGGAGGACTTGTTAATAATTATACAGAGAGGGTCATACAGACATTCATGCTCACACCTCCTGAGGATTTATCTCAAAGCTTAGCCAGGGACAGGGGTTTCAAATTAGACACAGCTAGAAACCTGGATGCATGGCATCGAGTTTGTGTTTCAAGAGGACATATCATCCCTCTTCTTCATCTTTTCAAACATTCCCCTGGGGTCTAAATGAAACATCTGTGCTGTGCTTTGGTCAAAATATAACATGAATCAAGCCCCAGAGGAGGTTTGTGACCCTGCAGACCACAAATAAAGGACTGGATGGATTTATTTCACATGTTGTGGGTCAGTAGACACTCAGGTTACCCAAGTAAATGTCCTCAAATACTGTCAGACTGGATTTTTCACAATATGTCCCCTTTAATATATGAAGCAATGGTCACTGCATGTGTTCTTGTTAGTACATAAAAAGAAGAAATAGCACAAAGACCTTCAGTGAGTGCAGTGGATGTTTACCCCGTTTTTTTTGCTTCTCTGAGCTGTTCTGCAGATAAACTTTGATAAAATATGATTATTAAAGCAGAAATGTGTCCGTTGATGATATTTAACTGAATGTACGCTCAGTGTCCAGTTTATTTGTTCCACTAATATGAATTATAAACAACTTCTTACAAGCTGAGCAGTTAAAAATACTCACTAGTAGCTAATTAAGGGTTATTGATTCAGGTTAGTGCAAGTGGAATTTTTTTCTAAAGCTGGTTTGAACAAACTTTTTACAAGTGCAACAAGACTAATTCAAATGTTTTTGTTTATGATTTGTAAAGAAAATGTAGAAATTCACAGAGGTAAGTTTTGCAAACGAGGTCGTATCACATCACAGACTTTCAGAACGATGATTAAAACACATGTGGAGTCTCAGAGACCCAGAAACAGATTTCTGTTCTGACAACCCAAACAAGTCAACCCTTCAAAATCATGTTTATAAACCATTCTAATAAATTAACTTGAGGGCTTTGAGGTCACCATCACCTCATACTGACGTTCATTTATTTACCTACAGTTTGATTAACTGTGGTCTCCGACCTGCAAGAGGCTTTTTAAGTGCTCCTCAGTATCGTCTTTTTTAATGTTTTATCATGCTGTATTTTACTTTTCACAGCTCCAGGATGATTCACATGACCAGCAGACGGTCCCTTCACTATCAGCATGGTGCCTTCACTGACCTGGTGTTCTACACTGTTGTCTTCCTCGCCCTGATGAACTCATGTAGAGGTAAGTTGCAAACATTACAAACAGTTTACATGAAAATTTATTTAAATTACAGAAGTTTAAAGGGATACTTCACCTGTTGAAACATGAATCTGTATTGACATTGGGTCATATATTTAGTAGAATTGTGAAATACATTTTGAAGTTGGTGCCTTCTTGACTGTGAAAAGGCAGAAAGTGTCTTTTTGGCTCATGTGGATGAAAGACACAAAATCCCAGAATGCACAGCACCGCAGGCCCCTCCCACTAAGGTCCTCTAGTTTAGAATCAGAAATACTTTATTAATCCCAGAGGGAATTTCGATCGATACAGTTTCTCCAAAATATACAATATAGCAGTAGAAATATAGAAATAAAAACATTTACAGACATATTTACTTCAACTGGTTCAGAGGTTTGTTCCAGAATTGATCTTGGAAATTCCTGGCAGAAAACAGACTCTATGTCTGTGTCCATAGGCAAACAGTGAGAGCACCGACACTACCAGTCCGCCCCAGCTTCTCGTCCTCACCGCCGCCGACAGGCAGGCATCATGTCTCTGCTGCTGAGCTGGCAGCGGCGGCAATATAGCTGCGAGACGGTTGCTGCCCACATGCTGGTTTTGTGTTGTGGCCCGCGGTCAGGCTCGCGGTGGCCGGGCTCCGAAAATATCAGGAACTAGCGTTGTAGTTTCACCCCCGCTAACTGCAACAGCTTCCAGTGATGCAAAAAACGTCATTTTGCGTCACTGGAAGCTCCTTTTCAGACTTAGAAATACAAAGATTTCCCATCTGAGGGGAAAATGAGGGCGGGATGCACGACCATTCAAAAATACTACCAGGTTTCTAATGATACAAAGCTTAATGCAAATGGGTGAAGTATCCCTTTAAGTATGTGCTTCTAATGACACCATATGGCTCACATTTGCTGAGCTGTAGGAATAAAAAAAATAATCCCTGTTTATTTGCAGCTCAGTCTGAGGTGATCATTCCATCTCAGCCAGTAGTTTCATTGGTGGGTGAAGACGTTATTCTGCCATGTCACCTGGACCCCGTCATGAATGCTTTTGACATGACTGTGGAGTGGGCGAGACCTGACCTGAACCCCAGATTTGTCCTGGTGTGGCGTCAAGGCAAAGAACTGGAGACTAAAAAACATCCGTCCTTCAGTGGAAGAACATCAGTGTTCATTGATGAGCTGGAGAAGGGAAACATCTCACTGAAACTCTCCAAAGTTAAAGTCTCTGATGAGGGAGGATACAAATGCTTCATGCCTGCATTGTCAAAAACCTCCACTGTTCAGCTTGTTGTAGGTAAGAGGACATGTTTTTATGATTATTTAATAAATGTTCATGCAGCGGTTGTGGATTTGCTGCTGATGAGAGAGGAATATGTTAGAAAGGATATGTGCATCCAAATCTTGCATTGGTGCTTTCAAAGTGTTTATCTGTCCAGACGATAACGACACACGACGTGATAGTTTGCACACAGAAACAACATGACAACGTGTTCACAATACTATCAGTGTGATTGACTAAATTACTCAAAAATTACTCAAGGGGCTATATGTAACTTTTTACATGGATCAATCGTTTTTTATCGTCCATTAATAAGCGAACGGTTAACTCGTGAAAAAGTAGATGTTCATCTGTGTTGCCAGAATAAAAAGTTTTTTCCGCGAAAGCTCCAGAAGTGACATTTTATGCACGTTCTCAACGTCCTCCTGCCTCTGCTCCGCTTACAAAGATCAAAGTCAAAGTCAAAGTCAACTTTATTGTCAATTTTAAAATATGCCAGACATCCAGTGGAATTGAAATTTCATTTGTCTCCGTCCCGCGGTGCAATACAACCAATAAGGTAAAATAAGATAACGTAAAATTGATAAATAAAATGAGGTAAAAATAAGATAAATAATATTTACAGTAATAAATTCTAAATTGTGCAAAAGGTAGTAAATAAAATACAATAAAATTTAAAGAAAAAGTGAACTTGTGCAGTAAAGTAAGTGTACTTTTGAATAGTTAGCTTCAGAGTTTTTAGTCCAGAGTTTCTTGGTGGCAAACAGGAGGGGGTTTCAACATCCAGCGTTCGTGGGGGCAGAGGGGAGGGAAGGGAGAGGGGAGAGAGTTAAGCTTCCTGACAGCTTGGTGGAAGAAGCTGTTTCCCAGTCTGGTGGAGCCGGCCCGCAGGCTGCGGTACCGTCTCCCCGATGGCAGGAGGCTGAAGAGGCTGTGTGAGGGGTGGATGGGGTCATGCACAATGCTGGTTGCTTTGCGGGTGAGGCGGGTACCGTAGAGGTCCAGAAGAGAGGGGAGTGGGACACCGATAATCCGTTCAGCAGCCTTCACTGTGCGCGGCAGGGTCTTGCGGTTGGCAGCAGTGCAGCTCCCAAGCCACACAGTGATGCAGCTGGTCAGGATGCTCTCGATGGTGCCTCTGTAGAAGGAGCACATGATGGATGGGGGGGCTCGTGCTCTCTTCAGCTTGCGGAGGAAGTAGAGGCGCTGCTGGGACTTCTTGGCCAGTGATGTGGTGTTGGTTGTCCAGGAGAGATCCTCACTGATGTGAACCCCCAGGAACTTGGTCCTGTTCACTCTCTCCACAGCAGCACCTTTGATGGTCAGTGGGGGTTTAGGAGTGGGGACTCTCCGGAAGTCGACAAAAACCTTTTTAGTCTTGTCGACGTTCAGGAAGAGGTAGTTGTCTCTGCAACACGTGGCCAGTTGACTGACCTCCATCCTGTAGTGCGTCTCATCGTTGTTGGAGATGAGACCAACCATTGTTGTGTCGTCCGAAAACTTCACAATGTGGTTGCTGCTGAAGGATGGAGTGCAGTCGTGGGTCAGCAGCGTGAAGAGCAGGGGGCTGAGCACACAACCTTGGGGGGCCCCCGTGCTCATGACGAGGGTTTTTGATGTGCTGCCGTCGACCCGCACTGTCTGAGGCCTCTCGCTGAGGAAGTCCAGCAGCCAGTTGCACAGGGAAGTGCTGAGCCCCAGCTGGTCCAGTTTGCTGATCAGCTGCTGAGGGATGATGGTGTTGAATGCTGAACTGAAGTCTATGAACAGCATTCTGACGTATGAGTTTTTGGTGTCCAGGTGGGTGAGGGCTGGGTGAAGAGCAGAACAGATGGCATCCTCGGTGGATCTGTTACCTCGGTATGCAAACTGGTAGGGGTCCAGGGTGGCGGGGAGGTGGATTTGATGTGGGCCATGACTAACCTTTCAAAGCATTTCATGGCGATGGGGGTCAGTGCAACGGGTCGATAGTCATCAGAAAGTGGATGGTGAGGGCTTCTTTGGAACGAGTATGATGGTGGTGGCTTTGAAGCACGACGGAACAACAGCCTGACTCAGAGAAGCATTGAAAATGTCCGTGAAGACATCTTTGAGCTCCTCTGCACAGTCCTTCAGCACACGGCCAGGAATGTTGTCTGGACCTGCAGCCTTGCGGGTGTTGATCTTGGAGAAGGTTCTCTTCACGCTGGCTGCAGTCAGGCACAGGGTCTGGTCGTGGGGAGGGGGGGTGGTCTTCTGTGGGGGCGTGCTGTTGTGTGCTTCAAACCTGGCAAAGAAGCTGTTGAGGTCGTTCAGCAGAGAGGTGTTGCTGTCACAGGTCTGTGGCTTGGGTTTGTAGTCCGTGATGGTCTGGATACCACGCCACAGGCTCCGCGCGTCTCTGCTGTCCTTGAAGTGTCCGGTTATTTTTAGTGTGTAGCTGCGTTTGGCTTCCCTGATGCCACGGGACAGGTTGGCCCTCGCTGTTCTCAGGCAGGCTGCGTCCCCAGCTTTGAAGGCGGTGTTCCTGGTCCTCAGTAGCCCGCGTACCTCTCCTGTCAGCCATGGCTTCTGGTTAGCCCGGGTGGTGATGGTTCTGGTGGTGGTGACATCAGCAATGCATTTGCTAATGTAGGAGGTAACAGTGTCAGAATACTCCTCAATGTCTGTGTGGTTGTTGTAGGTGGCTGCATGCTTAAACATCTCCCAATCAGTGGTATCAAAGCAGTCTTTTAGTGCAGCAGAGGCCCCCTCTGGCCACACACATACCTGCTTCAGAACTGGTTTGACTTTAGCTGGCATTAGCATTACACTAATATCGTCAGAGTGGCTAATGTGGGGTAGGGGTGAAGCTTTGAAAGCACCTTTAACTGAGGTGTAAATCATGTCCAGAATTTTACCTTCTCTTGTGGGAAAGGTCACGTGTTGGTGGAAGTGGGGTAAAACCGTCTTGAGATTTGCATGGTTAAAATCCCCAGCGATGATGAAAAATCTGTCTGGGTGGGTTGTCTGTTGCTCACTGATGGCGTTGTAAAGTTCCCAAAGTGCGTCGATTCTATCAGCGTTGTTGGTGGTGGGGGGAATATACACAGCAACCAGCAGGGTCGGTATGTGGTATGTGTATATAGAAAGGACGGCACTTAATGATCATAAACTCCGCCAGCGGTGAACAGTGTTTACATACCACAGCAGCATCTCGACACCAAGAATCACTGATGTAAACACAGACTCCACCACCTTTCTTTTTTCCTCCTTTAATCAGGATTCTGTCCGAACGGTAGCATGTGAATCGTTCAAGATGAACGGCGGAGTCTGATATGCGTTCGTTCAGCCATGTCTCTGTGAGAATGTACGCACAGCCGTCCCTCACGTTGTAGGTGCACAGCTCTCAGTAGTAATGGTCCATTTTATTGTCCAGAGATCTTACATTTGCCAGTAGAAGAGATGAAAGAGCGGACCTGTGTGGTATTTTAGCCAGTCTCTCTCTTATGCCTCCACGTTTACCTCGCTTTTGTTTCCGCTCGCACCGTTTACGTCTCCTCTCCGGGGGGTAAACCGGCTCGCGAAGCAGTCCCAAAGTTTGAAACTGTTGTCTCCGGGGAGTTATTCGGGTAATAACTCCACAGAAAGGCTGTTACTGTTTAAGTCCAGTAAAATTCGACGGCTGTAATTGTGTTTTTACATCGTAAAACACGGAGAAAAGTCAAAAGAAAAGTTAGAAAAAGAAGAAAACACCGCTCTATTATCTCTATTATGCTGGTAAATAATGACGATGCTCGTTTGTGTACGTACGAGCACGTATGACGAGCACGCGAGGGAGAGCGAGCAACAGGCTACTGGTGCAGTTCGCCTAACGGCCATGCGGTGTCACTACAAATGCAGTATTTTTGAAAGTTACATATAGCCCCATTAAACAGCTTAAACGTTACTGTTGAGGCACGTAGCAGCCATGTTGGATTTAATTCGGCCTACTGAAGGTTCTCTGAATTTCCAGGTCGGAATTCTGACTTCAGAGGGGCGTTCCTGATGACGTATCAGACTGGAAACTCCACATTGCCGACTTCCCAAATCAAATGCAACGTACCATGTGTCTGTACCTTTAAATGTAAATGAGCTGTGTCTGACCACGCCCCCTCTCTGGAAGGGCTCGGGTGTACTCGGGCTTTCTCGCTCCATGTCCTATTGTTTACGGTGAGAAGGCAGACTCAGAGGGCAGAACAAACACCTAGCTTTGGGAGTGTCACCCACCTGGGGGAGGGGCTACTGCCCTTTGTGATGTCATGAAGGGGAAATCTCCAAACAGCCTGTTTGAGCACACATTTTCTAAAAAGTGGAGCAGGCAGAAGACAGAGAGGATGGACTTTTCTCATAATTTGGGGGATTTGGAGACAGACTAGAGACCCATATTAGAGTTAGAGAAACATGGTGAAGTGGATTTTCATAATAAGTGACCTTTAATAGAGATCTTATGATGATGTAAGAAACCTGTCCTCTATAGGTGTGGTCTCCTCACCTGTTGTTCAGATGACCAAAAACAACAATGGAGTGTTGTTAGAGTGTGAGTCTGCAGACTGGTATCCAGAGCCAGAGATGTTTTGGCTGGACGGCGAGGGAAACCTCCTCTCTGCTGAACCCACTGAGACAGTCAGAGGTCCTGATGGTCTCTACACTGTCAGCAGCAGAGTGACTGTGGAGAGACATGGGAGGAAGTTCACCTGTAGAGTCACACAGAGCAAGATCAACCAGACCAGAGAGAAGCACATCACTATTCCAGGTAAATATAAGTCATTAATTATTTAATGATGTAATTATTAAGATAAACAGTAAATACAAACAAATGTTTCTTCTATTTCAGATCATTTCTTTGTGGTCCCTACTCCTCGTACTCATGTTGTTATCGGCGCTGTGATTGGCTGTGCTGCGATCATCTTTGTTGTGTGGAAATGGAGACAAAAGAAATTCAGTAAGTGACAAACTGTCAGTCTTCTGATTGTAAGACTCCTAAAGGTTTTATGAAGTCATGCAGACGTTTGATGATGTATTGAGGAGACTAGAGTTCAAGAAGTGATTAGCATTTAGTTTTAGTTTCATTTGCATACATCCATTTATGATGAGGCCAGTTTTTATTCAAAAACTTCACCAGTTGTTCCATCTTTTGTGTCTTCACAGAAAACAAGAAGACGACATGTGAGGATGGAGGTAAACACACAAAAAATGAGAAACGCTCTGAGGAAGAAGAACCAGTCACATCTAAAAGTGATAAAACAGGATTTCATGTTGTGAATGAAGAAGAAGAAGAAAGACTTCCACTCATTTCAGTTAAAGAAAAGAACAATGTGGACAAAACTGCAGAAAAGAGTGAACCTAAAGATGAGCTTGTGACAGAACCAGAGCCAGTAAAAGACATCGTTTCTGCAGCAGCAGAACGTGAAATGAAGGAAACAGATCTACCTGTGATTCTAAAAGAAGAAGAAACAAACCAAGAGCAGGAACAGGGACAAAGACGAGAAACAAATGATGGAGACGAGAGTAGACAAGAGGAGACAGTGAAACCAGTGAGAGACGATTCAGGACTTTCAATACAAATAAAACACATCAACACTGATCAGAAGATAGAGAGGGAAGAGACACAGCAAGAGACAGTGAGAGATGAAGACGAGAAAGAGACAAAGCAAGAGGCAACGAGTGATGAAGACGAGAAAGAGACAAAGCAAGGGGCAACGAGTGATGAAGACGAGAAAGAGACACAGCAAGGGGCAACGAGTGAGGAAGACGAGAAAGAGACACAGCAAGGGGCAACGAGTGAGGAAGACGAGAAAGAGAAACAGCAAGGGGCAACGAATGAGGAAGAGGTGAAAGACACAAAGCAAGGGGCAACGAGTGAGGAAGACGAGAAAGAGACACAGCAAGGGGCAAGGAGTGACGAAGACGAGAAAGAGACAAAGCAAGGGGCAACGAGTGAGGAAGACGAGAAAGAGACACAGCAAGGGGCAACGAGTGACAAAGACGAGAAAGAGACAAAGCGAGGGGCAACTAGTGAGGAAGACAAGAAAGAGACACAGCAAGGGGCAACGAGTGAAGAAGACGAGAAAGAGACAAAGCAAGGGGCAACGAGTGACGAAGACAAGAAAGACACACAGCAAGGGGCAACGAGTAACGCAGACAAGAAAGAGACACAGCAAGGGGCAACGAGTGAGGAAGACGAGAAAGAGACACAGCAAGGGGCAATAAGTGACGAAGACGAGAAAGAGACAAAGCAAGGGGCAACGAGTGACGAAGACGAGAAAGAGACAAAGCAAGGGGCAACGAGTGACGCAGACAAGAAAGACACAAAGCAAGGGGCAACGAGTGACGAAGAAAAGAAAGAGACACAGCAAGGGGCAACGAGTGACAAAGACAAGAAAGACACACAGCAAGGGGCAACGAGTGAGGAAGACAAGAAAGACACACAGCAAGGGGCAACGAGTGAAGCAGACAAGAAAGACACACAGCAAGGGGCAACGAGTGACGCAGACAAGAAAGACACACAGCAAGTGGCAACGAGTGACGCAGACAAGAAAGACACACAGCAAGGGGCAACGAGTGAGAAAGACGAGAAAGAGACACAGCAAGGGGCAAGGAGTGACGCAGACGAGAAAGACACACAGCAAGGGGCAACGAGTGACGCAGACAAGAAAGAGACACAGCAAGGGGCAACGAGTGACGCAGACAAGAAAGACACACAGCAAGGGGCAACGAGTGAGGAAGACAAGAAAGAGACAAAGCAAGGGCAACGAGTGACGCAGACAAGAAAGAGACACAGCAAGGGCAACGAGTGACGCAGACAAGAAAGACACACAGCAAGGGGCAACAAGTGAGGAAGACAAGAAAGAGACACAGCAAGGGGCAAAGAGTGACGCAGACAAGAAAGACACACAGCAAGGGGCAACGAGTGAGGAAGACAAGAAAGACACACAGCAAGGGGCAACGAGTGACGCAGACAAGAAAGACACACAGCAAGGGGCAACGAGTGACGACGACGAGAAAGAGACACAGCAAGGGGCAACAAGTGAGGAAGACGAGAAAGAGACACAGCAAGGGGCAAGGAGTGACGACGACAAGAAAGACACACAGCAAGGGGCAACAAGTGAGGAAGACGAGAAAGAGACACAGCAAGGGGCAAGGAGTGACGACGACAAGAAAGAGACACAGCAAGGGGCAACGAGTGACGCAGACAAGAAAGACACACAGCAAGGGGCAACGAGTGAGGAAGACAAGAAAGACACACAGCAAGGGGCAACGAGTGAGGAAGACAAGAAAGACACACAGCAAGGGGCAATGAGTGAGGAAGACGAGAAAGACACACAGCAAGGGGCAACGAGTGAGGAAGACAAGAAAGACACACAGCAAGGGGCAACGAGTGACGCAGACAAGAAAGAGACACAGCAAGGGGCAACGAGTGAGGAAGACAAGAAAGAGACACAGCAAGGGGCAACGAGTGAGGAAGACAAGAAAGAGACACAGCAAGGGGCAACGAGTGACGCAGACGAGAAAGAGACACAGCAAGGGGCAACTAGTGACGCAGACGAGAAAGAGACACAGCAAGGGGCAAAGAGTGACGCAGACAGGAAAGACACACAGCAAGGGGCAACGAGTGAGGAAGACAAGAAAGACACACAGCAAGGGGCAACGAGTGAGGAAGACAAGAAAGACAAACAGCAACGGGCAACGAGTGAGGAAGACAAGAAAGACACACAGCAAGGGGCAACGAGTGAGGAAGACAAGAAAGACACACAGCAAGGGGCAACGAGTGAGGAAGACAAGAAAGACACACAGCAAGGGGCAACGAGTGACGCAGACAAGAAAGACACACAGCAAGGGGCAACGAGTGACGCAGACAAGAAAGACACACAGCAAGGGGCAACGAGTGAGGAAGACAAGAAAGAGACACAGCAAGGGGCAACGAGTGACGCAGACAAGAAAGAGACACAGCAAGGGGCAACGAGTGACGCAGACGAGAAAGAGACACAGCAAGGGGCAACGAGTGACGCAGACGAGAAAGAGACACAGCAAGGGGCAACGAGTGACGAAGACGAGAAAGAGACAAAGCAAGGGGCAACGAGTGAGGAAGACGAGAAAGAGACACAGCAAGGGGCAACGGGTGACGCAGACGAGAAAGAGACACAGCAAGGGGCAACGAGTGAGGAAGACAAGAAAGACACACAGCAAGGGGCAACGAGTGAGGAAGACGAGAAAGAGACACAGCAAGGGGCAACGGGTGACGCAGACGAGAAAGAGACACAGCAAGGGGCAACGAGTGAGGAAGACAAGAAAGAGACACAGCAAGGGGCAACGAGTGAGGAAGACAAGAAAGACACACAGCAAGGGGCAACGAGTGACGCAGACAAGAAAGACGCACAGCAAGGGGCAACGAGTGACGCAGACAAGAAAGACGCACAGCAAGGGGCAACGAGGGAGGAAGACAAGAAAGACACACAGCAAGGGGCAACGAGTGACGCAGACAAGAAAGACACACAGCAAGGGGCAACGAGTGAGGAAGACGAGAAAGAGACAAAGCAAGGGGCAACGAGTGAGGAAAACGAGAAAGAGACACAGCAAGGGGCAACGAGTGACGAAGACGAGAAAGAGACACAGCAAGGGGCAACGAGTGACGCAGACAAGAAAGAGACACAGCAAGGGGCAACGAGTGACGCAGACAAGAAAGACACACAGCAAGGGGCAACGAGTGACGAAGACGAGAAAGAGACACAGCAAGGGGCAACGAGTGACGCAGACAAGAAAGAGACACAGCAAGGGGCAACGAGTGACGCAGACAAGAAAGAGACACAGCAAGGGGCAACGAGTGACGCAGACAAGAAAGACACACAGCAAGGGAAAACAAGTGAGGAAGACAAGAAAGAGACAAAGCAAGGGGCAACGAGTGACGAAGACGAGAAAGAGACACAGCAAGGGGCAACGAGTGACGCAGACAAGAAAGAGACACAGCAAGGGGCAACGAGTGACGCAGACAAGAAAGACACACAGCAAGGGGCAACGAGTGACGCAGACAAGAAAGAGACACAGCAAGGGGCAACGAGTGACGCAGACAAGAAAGACACACAGCAAGGGGCAACGAGTGAGGAAAACGAGAAAGAGACAAAGCAAGGGGCAACGAGTGACGAAGACGAGAAAGAGACACAGCAAGGGGCAACGAGTGACGCAGACAAGAAAGAGACACAGCAAGGGGCAACGGGTGACGCAGACGAGAAAGAGACACAGCAAGGGGCAACGAGTGAGGAAGACAAGAAAGACACACAGCAAGGGGCAATGAGTGAGGAAGACGAGAAAGAGACACAGCAAGGGGCAACGGGTGACGCAGACGAGAAAGAGACACAGCAAGGGGCAACGAGTGAGGAAGACAAGAAAGACACACAGCAAGGGGCAACGAGTGAGGAAGACAAGAAAGTCACACAGCAAGGGCAACGAGTGACGCAGACAAGAAAGACGCACAGCAAGGGGCAACGAGTGACGCAGACAAGAAAGACGCACAGCAAGGGGCAACGAGGGAGGAAGACAAGAAAGACACACAGCAAGGGGCAACGAGTGACGCAGACAAGAAAGACACACAGCAAGGGGCAACGAGTGAGGAAGACGAGAAAGAGACAAAGCAAGGGGCAACGAGTGAGGAAAACGAGAAAGAGACAAAGCAAGGGGCAACGAGTGACGAAGACGAGAAAGAGACACAGCAAGGGGCAACGAGTGACGCAGACAAGAAAGAGACACAGCAAGGGGCAACGAGTGACGCAGACAAGAAAGACACACAGCAAGGGGCAACGAGTGACGAAGACGAGAAAGAGACACAGCAAGGGGCAACGAGTGACGCAGACAAGAAAGAGACACAGCAAGGGGCAACGAGTGACGCAGACAAGAAAGAGACACAGCAAGGGGCAACGAGTGACGCAGACAAGAAAGACACACAGCAAGGGAAAACAAGTGAGGAAGACAAGAAAGAGACAAAGCAAGGGGCAACGAGTGACGAAGACGAGAAAGAGACACAGCAAGGGGCAACGAGTGACGCAGACAAGAAAGAGACACAGCAAGGGGCAACGAGTGACGCAGACAAGAAAGACACACAGCAAGGGGCAACGAGTGACGCAGACAAGAAAGAGACACAGCAAGGGGCAACGAGTGACGCAGACAAGAAAGACACACAGCAAGGGGCAACGAGTGAGGAAGACAAGAAAGAGACAAAGCAAGGGGCAACGAGTGACGAAGACGAGAAAGAGACACAGCAAGGGGCAACGAGTGACGCAGACAAGAAAGACACACAGCAAGGGGCAACAAGTGAGGAAGACAAGAAAGAGACACAGCAAGGGGCAAAGAGTGAGGAAGACAAGAAAGACACACAGCAAGGGGCAACGAGTGAGGAAGACAAGAAAGTCACACAGCAAGGGGCAACGAGTGACGCAGACAAGAAAGACGCACAGCAAGGGGCAACGAGTGACGCAGACAAGAAAGACGCACAGCAAGGGGCAACGAGTGAGGAAGACAAGAAAGACACACAGCAAGGGGCAACGAGGGAGGAAGACAAGAAAGACACACAGCAAGGGGCAACGAGTGACGCAGACAAGAAAGAGACACAGCAAGAGACACAGCAAGAGGCAGTGAGTGATGAAGACAAGAAAGAGACACAGCAAGAGGCAACGAGTGACGGCGACAAGAAAGAGACACAGCAAGAGGCAACGAGTGATGAAGATATGAAAGAGACACAGCAAGAGGCAATGAGTAACGAAGATATGAAAGAGACAAAGCAAGAGGCAACGAGTGACGAAGATATGAAAGAGACAAAGCAAGAGGCAATGAGTGACATCATCCAGAAAGAGACACAGCAAGAGGCAACGAGTGACGACGACAAGAAAGAGACACAGCAAGAGGCAACGAGTGACGAAGACAAGAAAGAGACACAGCAAGAGGCAATGAGTGACATCGTCCAGAAAGAGACAAAAACTGGGAAACACTGAGGAAGAAAAACCAGTCACATCTAAAAGTGATAAAACAGGATTTCAGGTTGTAGAAGAAAGACTTCAACTTACTTCAGTTCAAGAACAAGAGAACAATGCTGACACTACAGGAGAAAAGA